ACAAAGTATTCTCTATTCCTCCATTCTGTTCCTTGTAACACCACTGTCTTTAATTGTGTCTATGCATAAGCTATAACAAAAAATATATCATGAGTATTATTTAGAACAAATTATTTCTTGTTAGGTCAAAAAGGAGTGAAAACAGATTTTATTTTATCTTCATTTAATCTTTCTCTTACACACTTCTTTTCCTTATGTAGATCTAAATTTCTGACATGTATAATTTTTTCTCTTAAATTCTTGAATATTTTCGCTTTCTAAACTTGGGACATCCCCAGTTTTTGTTTGTCTAAGAAGATTTTTATTTCACTTTCACTTTGGAAGGATAATTTAGCTAGATACAGCATTCTAGGTCAGTGTTGCTTCCCCCCCCCCCCCGCAAACATTATTTTGTTCCACTCTCTTCTTGCTTTATTATTTTCTGAAGTGAAATCTGTTGTGTACCTTATTCTTGTTCCTCTACAAGTAAGATGCTTTTACCTTTGATTTCTTTGATGTCTGCAATTAGAGTATGATATGCCTAGGGAAATTTGTTTGTATTTACTCTGCTTCATGTTCTTTGAGCATTTTAGATCTATGAATTTGTATCTGTCATGAAATTTGTAAAGTTCTCAAGTATTATTACTTTAAATATTTCAGTTTTTCTCTTTTTTATCCCATATTTCTATTAAATACATTTTACTCCTTTTGTAATTTTCCCTCACTACTTGGATATTTTATTAAATTGTTTTTATTCCTCTTCTCTTTGCATTTCAGTATAGGTGGTTTCTATTTTCATATCTTTAAGCTTACAAACTGTTTATTTATTCAGTCAACTGAAGAGCCCATCAAAGGCGTTTTTCATTCTGTACAGTATGTTAATTTCTAATATTTTCTTTTAATATTTTTCATAGAATTTCCATGTCTCCACTTACATTACTCATCTGTTAATGCACACAATCCACTGATTTCATTACAGCCCTTAACATATTAATCATAGTTATCTTTTATTCTCAGTCTGATGATTCTAAAGTCTCTGCCATATCTGAGCCTGGCTCTGATTATTACGTTATTGCTTAAAACTGTAAGGGATTTTTTCTTGTTTATTTTGTTGCTTTTTAGCATACCTTTTAACTTTTTATTGAATGCCAGATATAATGTACTGGTTTAAAAAAAGGTAAATACACTTTTAGTGTGAGATTTCTTGTTTATCTGGCTAAGAATTGGACTGTGTTTACTGTGTTATACTTACTGGTGTCAGGAGTTAAGATTTCCTCTAGTTTTCTAGCTTTTGTTTTCACTGTTTTTGTTGGAGTTTTCTAGAGACTACCTTTGTAAATAAGGTCTGAGCTTTGGAGCTATTTCAACTATAATCCCTTGCTATCATATAGGAGCCTAATAGATACGATGGTATTCATTCCACAAGTCTATGATGAGGTTTGAGTCTTTTAAGAGCCCAGGCCCCTGAACTGTTATCTTCATAAGTGTTTCTCAGTTTCACCTCTTTTTAGATAAGAGAAGAAGTATAGTGTTCTGGAGTTGGAAATTTCTCTTTTCCTAGGTAGATTTGGCTTTTGTAAAACCCGAAGTAGTTTAGACTCTGATAGGCTGGCTTCTCTTGAAGGAAAGTTGTTTGAAAGAACAGAATGTTCTGGCCTTGTTTTTAAGGAATTACTTTTCCTTTTCTACCTGGAAGAAGCACAAGGGGTCCTTTATCTGTATTTCACCCTGAGAACTTATAGTGCTCCTATAGACAAAATTCATGGAAGTGTGAGTGATATTTAGATTAAGACCCACAGAGTTTTTATCTGTAATGGTCACCCATAATGGACCTCCAAATTTTCATTAATTACATTTTAAAATATATTTTAATTTCAACTGGGCCAGGGATTTAGCTCAGTGGCACCGCATCTGCTTCATAAGCACAAGTTCCTGAGTTCAATCCCAGGTACTGCAAAAAAAAAAAAAAAATATATATATATATATATATATATATATATATTAAACTAATACATAAAACATGAACATTGCACATATTATTGGGGTACTGTGTAGTGTTTTGATACACTGCATTCAATTACAGTTTACATGTTCCTACTGGTACTGGCTCAAGCCTCTTGGATTTTGATCCAAGCATATGATTGTCAATATTTTTTCTTCTGGAAAATATTGTTTTTCCTTTTCTTAATCCAGTTTCTCAAGCCTTTTCTAGTTGATATGACCTCTTCCTTCTTTGAAATTCTATGGTAAGCATGACGGTTCCACACCGCTTTGCCTAATTCTCCCTATAATTTTTTCAACTGTGTAAGTTTTGTCTTCTCATTTAAATTTTGAATCTGAATGGGTGAATGGGCCAGGCATTTTAATGTTTACATTAGAGATCAAAAAGAAAAACTCCATGAGTCAAAAATTTAGCCCAGAGCTAGGCACATACTAGGGACTAACAAAAAAATCATTAATGGATTGTTATATACTTATATTTCATAGGAAAATATTACTGTTCTGCAAAGTGATTTGTAGATAACTATAACCTATGTCTTGATTCCAAAGAAAGGAATCATCTCTAGGTTTCTAAGATCTGATAATTAAGACACATCATATATATTAATAGAAGAACCAAGGCTCGTTTTTCAAATTCACTCTCCAAGTTTTTTCTGCAGCCCGTGAAAAGCTGTTTTTGGAAACTGTCTTAGAAATGCAGAGGGAAAGGCTTGGTTGGGAGGAAAAGGATTAGCTTTCTTCCTTGTGTCTGGCAGAGCCAGTGGCTGCCCTCCATGTAAAGCTTTAAATCAAAATGAATTTGTGGCACCTAAGTAGCTTCTGTAACTACAGGAAATACTTCCACAGCAAACAGGTTACACAAAGCTAAAAGAATTGAGTGTGGTGGAATTTACTAGTAATAGGAATAAAATGGAGGAAGCAAAAGTTAATATAAACCAGGAGTGTAGTAAATTTCAAATTTTTTCTTGGTTAAGCAGGTTGTTGGAAAAAAGAGACAGAAGAGGAAATTATAGCTGTGGTCAGACAGCAAAAGTATTAATAGACTAACAATAAGATATGGCCTGAAAAGTTTAGTTGAGAAAAGATCTATACTTACCTACTTCTGTAATAGTACATAGAGGTAAAAGGCAGGGGAAGACTTCTTGAGCCACAGATGTTTGAGCTACAAAATGGTTATAAGTTCTGCCTAGCATGGTGGCACACCCCTGTAATCCCAGCACTCGGGAGGCTGAGCCAGGAGCATCGCCAAGAGTTTGAGGCCAGCCTGGGCTACATAGTGAGTTCAAGACCAGCATGAATTACAGAGCAAGACCCTATCTTAAAAAACCAAAAAAGAGAAAAGAATATTAAAATTATCACTTCTTAAGTTTGTATATTATTTCAAAGAAGAATAAACAAGGTTAATTTTTAAAGCATATCAATTTGGCATATATTTTTGTCTTCAAATTTCAGCACAAGAGATTTTCAGACGCTAGAAACTCTTTTATATTAACTGAAATTTAAGTGCTTCCTTCTCTCAAACAGGAGCCAGAATACATTAAGCCAAGCTAATCTTTTTTTTTTTTGTTTTTACTAGGGATCGAACTCAGGTCCTTGAGCTTGCACAGCAGGCGGAGAAACCACTGAGCTAAATCCCAGGCCTCAAGCTAATCTTAAATGCCAATCATACAATACAAATATTTTTGAGAATCCAAAATTTACACAATCTCACTTCAAATAATAAAATGTTTATATTTAATAACATCCCTTTGCATGTCCATAGTGCTATTTACTTGTCAAATCACTTTAACTCATTTCACTCTGACAATAAATGTAAGATACAAATAAATACTGTAACTATTTTTCCCTAAAGATGAGTTAAATTAAGGAAACAAGAAGTTAATGGCTAGGTAAGGATTAAGCAAGAATTAGATACTTAGAATCTGTTTTTTTTTTCCTGTGCACAATTGTCTTTTCCAATTTCATGCTTAATGCCAGCAAATCCTCTCTGCACTTATATACCCATAAATGATGAGTTATTTCTGTTTCCCCAATGTCGCATATATGATACTATGTATTTAAGAACCTAGTCTAGAATGTAACTGTGAGATTACCACCACTTGATTCTTAATTTGTTCCTACTTTGCCAAAGGCAAGAGGATACAAAAAAGGCAGCAGGATGCCCACTTTCACCTCACTCAGGAGGTAACTAATCATTTGTGAAAGGATATCTCTTCAAAGAAACGGGATTTGAACCCCTTCAGGAAAAAAAATCCTGTCAACTCAGCTCCACTGCGAAGAACACCTGTTCCTGGACATTCAAAGCCTTTCGCAACTTCATTTGAGAAAGCAAAAAGCTGACTGGAGAAAATGTCACAGAAGACAGGGTTTCTCCTGTGAGAAGGGAAACAGAAGCAAACGTAGAGAAGAGTAAGGAGACATCAGGGCCCTGAGGGTGTTGTGATCATCACTGGGGAGTTAGGGAGAAGGGCATATTACTGCATCAGACAACAAGCTTCTCAATGATATTTGGGGATAGAAGGCCACTAGTAATCTTTGGTTTACTTTTTATACAGCAATTACTTTCAAGGCCCTCTTCATTACCTCTTTATCTCACTAATGTGAAAATTCTAACCTTTGACACAAAACCTATACTCCTACACATTATTGGCTTCCAGGCCATGATACAAAAATAAAATTAGTTTTCATAAACTTAGTTTGTAATACGGAACCCATTGTTTCCTCATTTTTGTCACATAAATCATGTTGGCTTCATTTTTCAAAGCCTTATGACATATTAATATTTCGTTGTGCTAAGTGAATTCTTCACTTCTGTTCTTTCCATTTGTCCTTCAGGTCAAGTACCACTTTCTCTGTTTACTTATTGGGGGGTCCCACAAGCACATACCATTCAATGAGCCATCACTCTCTGTCCCATCTAGAGACCTGGGATCAGGGCTCTGTAACCACCTGTAGACTTTGCATGGCTTTTGCACAAGTAAAATAAACCAATTCAGCCAAGAATACTGTCTTTATTTCAGGCTTCTCAAAGAGCATCTTGGAGAAAAAGAAGTTGAATTGACGCTCATCTTTGACTCAGTGGTGGAGGCTGACTTGGCTAATTACACCTGCCATGTAGAAAACCGAAATGGACGGAAACATGCCAGTGTCCTACTTCGTAAAAAGGGTATTTATTTTTAGTATAATTATATTTTGTTTAATTGGCAATAACTAGTAAAGTTAGATACTTTTCCTGGTCTTGTTTTGTCATTTAGTACAAACTTCTGTTAAGTATTTTGTTTAAAATACAATAACTTTTGCTGTACATAACATAAAATATCTATGATCTTCAATACCACTAGAAAATGGATAAATAAAACTAAGTCTTATTATACATTAAATCAATAAAGATGAAATATCTTTGGCTATAATTATGTGTTACAAAAAAATATAGATTGTCATTCAACATTTCTACATATTTCATCTTTTTATGTCTTAAATATTAAATAGTTTAAATAAAATGCTAGAGATTATCAGATAAAAAACAATGTTCCTTTTATATTCCCCAACTAAGCAATAAACAAAATAATTAGTAATACCATATAATATTTTTACAATTATTATCATAACAATTATAAACTATATTTTGTGATATGATCTGGTGTTAGGCCTCTAGTGGGTGTGAAATAACTAAATAACTTGTCATTTATGAAGGTCTCTCTTTAGATCCAGTTTTGGATTGGGTAAAAGTTGCATAAAATGGGTAAAATAAAGAACCTATTAATTTTACAGATAAAAGGGATAAAACCAGACTTAAGAACAACAATTTCAACAGCTAGAGAAGCTTCTGAATTGGCCCTTACATTGCCATGACACTTTTTTTGGGGGGGGGTACTGGGAATCGAACTCAGGACCTTGTGCTTGCCAGATTTCTTTAGAAATCAAATATGGAAAGTGAATTCCGGAGACCGGGGTCCAGAAGTTCATGGCTTAGACACCTGATTCAATAGGACTAATTTGTCTGATTAGACTTCCTGAGCTTTTGTTTCCTTATCTGTGAAGTACAAGTAATAATACCGACCTTGTAGAGTTACTTTGAGTTCAAATGATAGTGATATATTGGATATGAAATGCATCATGTTCAAGCAATGTTTGTTATTATATTGAGTTTGCATAATTTTTCCTACGCACTAGGTAATCACTTAGTCCACCTACATGAAGGGAAGGTACTTACAGTGTCCAGACAGGTTGTAGAAAAGATCATTATTCTTGTCAATTTCAGACTCATTTCAGATTCAGAGATTATCCATGCCAGATCATGCTGCTCTATTTCTGTATCTCTAGCAACATAAGCAGTGCCTGGCACCTAATAGATTTTTAGAATATATTCTCTTCAAATAAATGATTATAATTCTCTTTTATTATTGAGGACTCATGTGTAGAAAGCACTATGTTTTCTGCCATGTAGAAAAAAATAATGGCCACAAATATGCCTGTATTCTATGGCAGATAAAAGGTATTTAGGTATGAGGAATAGGTTGCTGAGTAAGATAGACACCTCAAGTCCTTGTGAAACTTGTCATCTTTGAGGAGGTGAGAATGCAAGGAAAGATAGTAAACATTAAGCAAAATAAATTACACTAAATATATAGTGTCATAATTCAAAACCTGCTATGAGGAAAAGTAATAAAGTTTCTATAATTGAGCCGGTAGACACAGAAATAGTCTTATTTTAGTTTTAAAATAAATCCATCTCTCTTTAATAAGTAAATCAATGAATAGAAGCCCTTGAAATTTCTAGAAATTTGGCACTAGGAATAAAGTCATTCTATAAAACTGTGCTACTATGGCTCTACAAGAAAATGTGCATAAAACCATAACTAACAATATTATTTGTCATTTTCCTAATTAAAGATTTGAGTTCCCCAGGTTTCAGGCCTCCTTTTATTTGCTTGGTGATTAAATCCAGTCTATCTCATGGCTGTGCTTACTATTTAAAAGCTGACAACGCCCAGATTTATATCTGTAGCCTGGATTTATCACCTGAACTCCAAACTTGTATATACATTTGCCTACTCCACAAAGCCGTGTAGAGATCTAGTAGACATATCAAGCTTAGCTTGTCCCAAACAGGATTTTTAATTCCTCCTCCCTAAAAACCTAATCCTTCAGTCTCCTGCTTCATCTCCATCATCATCCTTCTGTTGCTCAGGCCAAAATCCTTGGGGTCATTCTTCAATTTTTTTTCTCTATTACTTTCAAAGCCTCTTCAGATTCTGACCACTTCCCTCATCTTCACTGCCTCCACTGTAGTCTGAACCACTAGTACCAGTTGAATGAAATCTCAAACCTGTATGACGGCCTACAAGGCACTGCGCAATCTCTTTGTATTTCCAATCTCATCTCACTTTTTACCATGATCTGTTTCAAGCATCATAAACACAGCCTCCTTTCTGTTTATCATACTTACTAAGTACAGGCCTGCCTCAGACCCCTTGCTCTTGCTGTTTCCTCTTTGTCCAGATGATTCATTTTCTCTCTTCACACAGTTCTCTTCCTAGCCCCTTCCTGGCCACCCTATGTAAAAGAGCATCACCTTTCATTTCCTTTTTCCTCTTACTTGCTCCTATGTTTTTTTATTGTATCTATTATTATTTGGTATTACATTGTATATTTGTTTGCTTCTTATTTCCTCCCTCAACTATAAAGTAAACTCCTTGAGAACAGGTACTTTTCCTCTTTGATTTACTGTAGTGCCGTTAGTGTAAAAAGTATAATAATTGTTCAAATGTATTTGTTGCATGAAAACTCCTCACAGAGGACCTACACAATGAAGTGGGGGAAGGATAAAAGGAATTGACAAAGAGATTTGATCTGTGCTCTTGTCTTGACTTATGTCTGCCCTGGGTTAACTAAATGTCTTTTCTCTTTTCAAAGACTTTTTTCTTTGGCATTGAAAACTCAACTGGCCTCAGGTGCCAGGCAGAAAGGGACTTCTTTTCAAAGACCAGATATTTGAGCAAACAAAACATAGACTAGGGAGTTGGACTTTTTCGACAGTATAGTCTGATTTCAGTGACTATGGTGTTCCCTCCTGGAGTACGAGTATGGTTTGTTTATGGAACAATAACTTCTTAATGATCTATAAGCCAAATATTTAAAATTCCCTAAGTGATCATTACGGAGAAGAAACACGTGAAAAATCATTTCATAAGCTGCAAAAAGGTTTTTGTAAAATGAAAACTCATATTCAGTCTATCCAAATAACAGGGTCAGGTCTTGTTTTTGTATGCATCTTCTATCTGTACTTACCACTTCCTTATTCTCTTATAAATTATTAAGTAGTGTGTGCAACTAAATTTCAGTAATTGATCCATCCTAATTTTTTTATTTGTTTAGCCCAGACTCTGAACTTGGGCCAAAGGAAGTGTAATAATCATTTCTGCTTCTCTGCACACACTCCCTTTCCCACAAAACAGAAACATATAACTAGATATCTCTTTTCATTTCCATTGCTAATGCTCTATACTGATGTCCTCAATCACATAGGAAAATTTCTTAGTCTGTTCAATTGCCATAATAAAATACCTCATACTAGGTAATTTATAAAGAACAGGAATTTGTTTCTCACAATTTTAGAAACTGGAACATCCAAGATCAAGACACTGGCAGATTCATATTTGCTAAGGACTAGGTCTCTATGTCCATCTGAGTCAACAGAATAGAGTTTACTATCCATATTTCTACAAACATTATAATCAAAGCCACTTCGGGAATCTCTAGTAATATTGGGGCTTTCCCTGCAGAACTCTGAGCCCACACCAGGCTCTCTCCAAAATTTCCTTTCATGGCAATGTAAAACTTTTTTAGCCTCTATCTCTTACCCAGTTCCAAATCCACTTCCATATTTTTTGGTACTTATTAAAGCAACATTCCATTTCTCAAGACCAATTTCTGTGTTAATCCTTTTGGCTGCTGTAACAATATACCTTAGACTAAGTAACATAAATAGCAGGCATTTATTGCTTACCTTTTGTACTTAATTGTCTTCCAAAGGTCACAGATCTTAATATCATAACTTTGGTGTTAATTTCAACATAGGATTTTTCAGAGGACATCAACATTCAAATTATAGCAGAAGACCTCAGGTGGGATCTCCTAACATGCTTCCCATCTTATAAGTCAAAGGAATAAGCACAAACATTTCCAGCCTTCTTTTTACCTTGCATTCTGCTTCTATTTGTCACATTCTGTGACATTTGATGTTTATGTCACAGTGAAGAAATAGCTGGGTTCAAAATAAGAAGGTTGCATCAAACTCTCCATGTACCTTAGATGCCCAGAAAGTTACAACCCCATAAATATGTACTATTTTGGCTACAACTATCCTATGACAAGTATACAAGACACAGCACAAATGAAATACTTTCAGCTTGAAGTATTGATCCTGCTAACAAAGTAAATGACAAATGAAAACAGAAGAAAAAATGAAAGCTGGGTGTCATTCAGTTGATGGCAATTCTACTTTCTAATCATAAGATAGAGGTTCCACTTTTGATGTGACTCCCTGGACCTAATTGAAGAAAACTGGATGAGCCTCAAAGAGGTACAGGGTTTTCAATTTAAACAGCCGTCATTATATATCTTCCAAAGTTATTTATATAAAATGGACCGCAAAACCATAATGGTTTTTTTCACACCAAGATTTTCATCCATAAATTTGCTATTGAAAAAAGGGTCTGCTTCTTGGGAACGCAAATTTTGCCTGCCGCTGAAGTTTTCCATCGACCCTATAGCAACTCTACTGTGTAAATAGTTTACATATAGCTGGAAAAATTCCCATTCAGTGACTTTGAAAACAGTTGAAAGCTGTCTAACGAGAGAGAGAGAGAGACAGAGAGAGAGACCGAGAGAGACAGAGAAAAATCAGAAAGACATTGATATAGAAAGAATAACATTTGTAGCATAAAATGAACATCTTACAACAGGAAAAATATTTTTAATCAATTCAATCAATGCCCTTAGATTAAAGAGAAATTGATTTTCAGAGTAACAGAGGAAGTTGTGTCACTTCCAATACAACACTGCTTATTAATCAGGTATCACTGATGTAAGGTTGTGAGAAAACAAGAAAGATTATGACTTGCAAACCCACAGAGGTCTCTTAAGCAAGTTTGTTTTCTCTCCTTGCTTTATGGTAGAGACCCACTCACTGCTTCCTGCTCTCTAGTACCAAAGCAAAAACAAAAAACAAACGAAAAAGAGTATGGCCTCAAAATTAATGTGCAGTGAGACTATTTTACCTATAATTATGTGGCTTAAATTTCAAAATAAACTTACAGCCTGTAGGACAGAACTAGATTTCAATTTCTTATCTCTACCCATTACATATTCCTTCATAATGTTCCTTCTTGACATAGTTTCTCCTCAATAGCGGCTCCATTCTTCCTCCATCTTTCCATACTCTAAAAGAGTGGCATTTGTTTGTTTGTTGCATTTCCACTCCATGATTTTCCTGATGGGCTGTGCTGTATCTGGCCACCATCATCTCCTCTCACACTACTTTCTTTTTGAAACTAAATGACTTTTCTTTTCATGCCACCTAACAATGCTCTTCACATGCTGGACCCAAAAGAGTCCTGCTTTCCCTGGCTATAGTTACAGGACTCTGCAGTTCTACCCAATGAAGTATCTGAGACCTGCCTAGTTCTTCCATTCTACCTAGCAATTACAGTTCTTCCCTTTGAACTAAAAGGGCAGGAGGGTCGGGGATTTAGCTCAGTGGTTCTGCTGCCTGCCTCACAAGCACAAGGATCCTAGTTCGATACCTGGTACCAAATAAATAAATAAACAAATAAAAGGGTAGGAGACAAAATTCACCAGAAGATACATGTAGTTAGGAAGTACTAACAACAGTTCAATGGAAGACCAGGTATAAAATTTTCTGTTGTAAATTTCCAGGATATAGCATATAGAATTTTGGTGTAATAAAAAGAACCTTGAATTTGAAATTAAGAGACCTGGGTTCACTGTCCCATTTTGGCTACTTCATAGGTACTTGACCTTGGACAAGTGACTTAAATTACTGAGTCTCAAAATATTCACCTACAGATTTAGACTAATAATTCCTATACAATGGGATTATTTACCAAGTAGAAAATAGACTGGCTGAAGTTTTCATCTATAATATAATCTAGTACTTGACTATATTATGTTTATGTTTTTGTAAACTATAAAAATGGATCTTAATTGTTTTATGGAGCTTAATTTATCTTAAAAAAATGATTCTATGTAGAGGTAAGGGACATTCCCAGAGAGTGTTCAACTATCTGGTTTCCAAGAGTTACAGCCTACTATGGTCTAACTCCATTTTGACAATGCTCCAGAATTTATCCATCCAGAAAGACTAATGCCAACCCAAATCAGAAGTAAATGATATACAAACCAGAACTAGTTTCCCTTACTCAGTTTTAGGTTACATGGTAAACTGAATAAGTGATAGAATAGTCATTTGACAATTACAGAATTAGATTAAAGTGAGGTTAGATAATCTTATAAATAATTCCAGTTAATTATGATAAAACCACAAAATGTTCCTGTCCCTAAGTGGAGACTATATCTCCAGTCTGGTGCTTCTCAGATTTAACATTTCTTCTTTTGACAGTACTGAATCCTCTTCTGACTTTCCATTTCTCGAAATCCTATGATACCCTCCTTTCTTTTGATGAGAAACTCTTTAGAATTGTTAACATTCTAATTAAACCATGGTAATTCACTATTTCCTAAGTATGGGAGATATTATATCTCCTTCTGTTATGTGCTGATTTAATTATTTCAACTCTCAGCATTCTAAGGATGCTTCCCTGGAGCAGCCTAAGCTGATGTAGCCTGGTGTTGGCCACAGAGGCCATGTGATTATTCTGGATTTCTCATTCTCTTTTATTCTCAATGGATATATCATATATATTATAATTATATATGATATAATTACAATATATAATTATATATGATATAATTATAATATATAATTATATATGATCTATTATTATATATTATATTATAGTCAGTTATTCCAAAAATAGTAAGGGAAATGGGTAAGCTAATATTTTTCACTTATGTTGTTTTAGGTTATGTACCACTGGAGTTAAGTGAAACAGTTAAGTCTCACTAATTAGATTTTATTTGACTGAAAGTAATTTTATGATGTTGTCCTCTTGTAGAAGAATAGGGCTGGGAACCTGAGAGAGATGAGATGATAATGTTGATAAACCAGTAAGACAGTTTAACAGAGACAATAAAACATTACCCTGAAACCAGAATAAAAGAGCTCCAATAGTTTCCTGTAATATATTTAAAACAAAAGTCCATTTGAGAAAAAAGATGTGTTCAAAATATACTGGGAGTGTATGTTTGTCAGATAAACTGACCATTTTTAGTGGTAAATCAGCCCACTCTTTGGAAGAGTTAATCTGACAGCAATCTAGTTCATACAAACATATCAAGAGCAAAACAATAAGCAAGATGGTTCTCAAAACAAAAAGCAGAATGTGTAATACATCTTACATAGCAGAAATATGGGAACTTCCCAAGTATTGCTGATTTAATTACCATTTCCTGTTTACTCTGTTTGTTTCAGACTTAATCTACAAAATTGAGCTTGCTGGAGGCCTTGGAGCAATCTTCCTCCTCATTATACTTCTGGTGGTCATCTATAAATGTTATAACATTGAACTGATGCTCTTCTACCGACAACGCTTTGGAAGTGATGAAACTGTTGCTGGTAAACTATCTCTGATTGTTCAAATTATAGGAAACCATTTTATTTATGACTATGTAAAAGAAATGTCCTATTCCTAGAAAATACTTGCTGAAATATTTACAAGGAAAGGGCTATGACATACACTGCTTAACCTCAAATTATTTAGGAAAACAATTTACTTACCAAGAAAGATAAAGGAGGAAAAACATTAACAATATGTGGAGCAGGTAAAGGATGTGTGCATTTTTTTGGAGTAGTTTTGTCTTCATGATGCTTATTGACCTTAAATTATTTCCAAATAAAAGTTAATGAATAGGCATTACTTGATCAGGATACAAAACAATTGCTGTGAAAACCTATCCCTTGATAAGAATTAAATTAGAAATCAATACTTATTTTAGTTTTTTTGAGGAATCTCCATATTGATTTCCATAGTGCCTGTACTAGTTTACTTTTCCAAAAGAAGGGTTCCTTTTTCTCTGCAGCCTCACCAGCATTAGTTATTACTTGACTTCTTGATAATAGCCATTCTTTCTACAGTAAGATGAAATTTCAATGTTGTTTAATTTGCATTTTTCTAAAGCCTAGAGATGCTATACTTATTGGCCATTTGTACTTTTTCTGAGAAGTATCTATTCATTTCTGTTACAGATTTTTTGTCATTTTTTTTTGCATGGGGGTTAATTTCTTGAATTATTTATGTATTCTAGATATTAGTCCTTTGTCCAAGACATAGCTGAAAAATTTCTCTTCCATTTTGCAGATTTCTTAAAAAACTGAAAATAGATATTCAAATTGATTCAGCTATTCTCCTCCTAGATATCTTCCTAAACACGTGAAAGACATTATTTTATAATGATACATTCATACCTATATTTATAGCAGCAAAACTCACAATAGATAAATCTAGAAAGTTGTCTGTATGTATACCAATAGATGTATTGATAAATAAAGTGTGATATTATACACAGTGGAGTACTATTCTGCCATAAAGAAGGATGAACTTAATCATTTATAGGAAAACAGATGTACCTTAAGATCATTATGTTAAGTAAAATTAATCACACGCACAACTTAAATACTGCATGGTTTCTCTTAACATGAGAAACTCAAAGTATAAGTATGTTAAGGAGCAAAATAAAATATAGATAATAGGAAACAGAGAGATAGTTCTTTTGCCAAAAGAAAGATGATCAAGAAATGAAGGGAGAGGAGAGAGAGGAGAGGAAAAGAGGACATAAAGAAAGGAAAATGTATTATGTACATGTATGAACTCTTCACAATGAGTACATCATTATGTGCTACAAACATGTACGAAGGAAAAAATTTAAAAATTAAAAATATGGAAAAAAGGAATTAATTCCATGTTTTTGTCTTGAAAATAGCCATTGTTGTCATCAAAAATCATAAACATGCAAGAAACAGATTAAAATCTATGAAGATACTCTGTTTACAACTCAAAGTACAAGATCCTAGATATTTTGTATACTTGTAGCATCATTCACAAAGGCAAAATCAAAAGACAAAAATTCAGAATTGTCATATTTTCTTATATTTGCTTTTTATGACATTTAGTACTTTTATGATGTATCAATAAAGTATTGTACTGAGACTTATTTCTTTGAAAATTCATTTTGAACATTCTGAAAACAGAAAATGTTTTCATTTTTTCAAGAGAACAATTCCCATATTTCCAAACAATACCAATAAAAAAATCATGATATATTGCTTCTTATACATAAAAGTTCTATACCTAAACTACTATAAGCCTTAAAACAAATATGTAAAGTACCTTAAGTAAGCCAAAAATTTAACAATAGAAGTAAAATTTGTGAATCATTACTTTGAAGGTAGATTTACTTACTTTAATTGTATTGAAATGATGAAAATTAGAGATTTAGTTCATTTTTTGAGTTGATAGTCTTATGTTAAAGAAGTTTGTGATTTTTAAAATTTTTATAATGACAAATGAAACATCAAAATTGATTCAGAGATCTGTCATTTTTGTCTTATGTAAGTGGTTTTTAATTGACTTTTACATTTTCACAGTAAATTAGAGAAATGCTCCTTTGTATTTATGATTGTCCCTTTTCTTTTTTCAGTAATTTCTGTGCACTTTTAGTTTGTATTGGTGCACGTTGGCAGTGAATTAAGATGTGTTATGTACACATACCAACTCTCCATGAAGAATGTAATCATTATGCACTGCATGCTCATTTTCAAGCTGTGCATTTACATAACAATTATATTAGCTGATTAAAAGTACTACAGACATTTATTCTGACAAATCTTCAAAGTTTAAAATTATTGTCTGTTCTGACTATAATTATATACTACACAGTATTTACAAAAATGTGATTAATTACATTCTGTTCCTGTATACAACAGTTAATATTGAAAAATCTGAAGTTTTACCTGTATATAATAAAAAACTATATAATATCCTGATGAAAATGTCACTTGTTCCAAGATGCCAACAAGTGGCTAAAGTATCAATTTGGGGAGGTAAATGTTGCACTCTCTATATAAAAGAACATGAAAATGAGAATCCTATGATTTGTTTGAGTCATGAGTAGGAGCTATTTGTTAAACTCAGTAAGAGATGATACAGTTCATTAGGATAATCTGTAATAATTGTTTTCATCACCAATATCCAATAACCCAGAATAACTGATAAGCTTTAGTATATATTTATAAAATTAAGGTCATGCCATTATGTTGAATTTTCAGGGATCAAATATTCAATTTTCATATTTATCTCCAATGTTCCCCATGTGGTTAAAAAGTGTACAATAATAAAGAATATTCTACCCAGGGAATTCTATATATTAATTCAAAGCCCACTTTTTGGGTTGATAATTCAATAATGGGGGAGGTACTTCAAAGGTTTTTCTTAGGAAAAAGAGCTTAAATATTTTATATTCTTACATGGAAACTTCAACCTTAGGTATATGAAGTATGATCAAGAAATGTGGTGAAATGTTTAAATTTAAAAAATGTATTACAATAAAATGCATATTGTAATTAATCCCCATCAAAAGTCTCCCCCCAACACTTCAAGCACTCTTATCCTATCATTGTTGTCACCTTCTGAAGCAGTTCTGAAAATCCTCTTTATTAAGTGTCTTTAGTTGCACTGTCATGGCTGCCTCCATGTGGTGAATTGATCCAAAACATTTACATTTCCTAGTCATTTTGACTTTAGAAAAGAGTCAGAAGTAGCATAGTGTCAGATCCAGTGAATGAGGTGGATGAAGACACACCATAATATTTTTATGGGCCTGTTTTTCAATTGATTGAACAGGGCAGCAGCATTCACCATATTTTTAGCACATCTTAGAAACACTCATGAAAGAGAACTTCCAAAGCCACTTTACAAAGTGTCAAGAATGGTGGGACAAGTGTATTCAAAGAACTGATGAGTATTTTGGCAAAGATGTGGCAAGTGTTTTGGCAATGTGTCTTTTCCTATAATAAAAATTTTTAAATTAAACATTCACCATATATTTTGATCAGCTCTTGTACAACCTCTGTATATCTGAGTGGAATACTAAAATGTCAGCAGGTATGTGTTGAGGATAAAGAAGTAAATCTTAATATCTTTTTGGAAATATTCAGTTGCATGATGCCAAATTAGGAAAACAACACCTTTCGCAATAGCATACAAAATAATGAAATACCTAAGAATCAATCTAACAAAGGAAATAAAAGACTTTTGCATTTAAAACTACAGTATTCTGGAAAGGGAGATCAGAAAGGATATCAGAAAATGGAAAGATATCCCTTGCTCTTGGGTAGGAATAACCAATATAGTGAAAATGGCCATACTTCCAAAATTTTTATACAGATTTAATACAATCCCGATCAAAATACCGATAGCATACCTCACAGAATTAGAGAAAACAATCCAAAAATTTATTTGGAACCAGAAGAGACCTAGGATAGCAAAAACAATTCTGGGCAACAAATGCAAGGCAGGAAGCATCACAATCCCTGATTTGGAATTGTACTACAAAGTCACTGTGATAAATACAGCATGGTACTGGCAAAAAAATAAACAGACCTGAGGATCAATGGAACAGATAAGAAGATGCAGAAACAACTTCAAACACGCTCAGCTACCTTATGTTTGACAAAGGGGTCAAATATCTTCACTGGAATAAAAATAGCCTCTTTAATAAATGATGCTGGAAAAACTGGCTTTCCACATGCCAAAGACTAAAACTAGACCCGCATCTCTCACCATTTACTAAACTAAAATCAAAATGGACAAAAATTGAAATATTAAAACAGAAACACTAACACTGCTGGAAAAGAGGTTAGGTAGAATTCTTGAAGACATAGGTGTAGGCAAAGACTTTACGAACAAAACCCCCACCACATAGGAAATATCACAAAGAATCAACAACTGGGATCACATCTTATTACAAAGCTTTCGCCCAGCAAAAGAAAGCACCAACAGAGTGAAGGGACAACCTACATAGTGGGAAAAATTTTTTCCATCTGTTCCTCTGACAAAAGACTACTATCTAGAATATATAAAGAACTCAAAAAACCATACCCTCTTAAATTTAAAGATCCAATCTAAAAATGGGGATCTGAAATGAATAGACATTTCTCAGATGAAGTAAAAATGGCAAATAAATATATGAGAAAATGTTCAACATCACTAGTAATTCAAGAGATGGAAATTAAAACAACACTGAAACTCTATCTCACCCCAAAAAGAATGGCTGTTTTCAAGAAATCAACCAATAACAAATGCTGGCAGGGCTGTGGTGGAAAAAGAACACTTCTCCACTATTATTGGGAAAGTAGACTGGTGCAGCCACTATGGAAATCAATGTGGAGATTCTTTAAAAAACTAAAACTAGAGTTTCTATTTGACCCAGATGTTCCCCTTTTTGATATCTTGCTAAAAGAATTTAAAGTATCACACCACAGCAATATATGCACATCCTTGTTCATGTTCACCCATGTTCATAGCAGCACAGATTGTAATAACTAAATCTTGGAAACAG